CTGTTTAAATAGTGACAGAAGTAAATTAACGAATACAAATATACTTTTAAAGGCCGCCAATATTTTTAAAGGCCGTTAAATATAAAGGAATTTTTACAGAATAGACCCCAATATGGGTTTGAATGAGTTATGAATATTATTTGGCTCTAGAAAAAAATGTAGTAAAAGTATCTATTTCTTTGCTGACAAAGAAAAAAGGAGCATGTACAGTTTAGATGGGATGCGACATCGTGACTAAGGCCTTTCAATACATATATCGTCTCCAAATAACACCTTACCTATCGATATAATAGAATTGTTAGAATTCATGTCGTAACAACAATAAATATGTAAAAGTAAATAAATTAAGAAAGCATCTTTTCTGTACTCAGAATAGACTGATTCATCTAATATTTCCAAGCTCAAGCGCCTTAACACCAGCATTCTCTTCGTGCTGCTAATCAAGGAGGTCATATTTGGGGTGGGTATGGGCAGATATGGGCAACCTTTGCTAAGCTGAGGGCGTAATTTCGGGACTTAATTAGGTCGCGTGCCGTAGGCAAGAAATAAGTAGGTAGTAGCGAATAAAAAAGCGAAAGAAATTCACACATTTTTTATTTATTAGTTATAATAGCATAATGGTTATGCTCAATCGAACATATAAAAAGCAAGTTAATAAAAAAAGAGAAAAATCAAACAAAAATGAATATTGGGGTCAATATCACTAGTACATAGGCGCAAAGTGTTTTCTAAATTAACATCTGCAAATTATTTTTCGTGCGAAAACTTTCAGCTGTGGATACTTTTCTTTGAAAAGGTATGTTCTGTAAAATTCGCTTAGAATTATGACTTCAAATATGAGTCTTCTTGAAGCTCGATCAACTCCATTTGTAGGTGAAGTGGAGTATCTTCCACATTACACTTGCAAGGATTTGCAAAAATATTAAAAGTGCTATCCATATTCTTAAAATCGAAAAATCGATCAGTAAATTGCTCGGACAGTAGTTTCAATTCTTCCCCATACAGCACAACCACATTGGAAATATTTCAACAATGTTACATTGAAACATTTGCAATGATGTATAAATATTACGAAACATCCCAGAAACATTTCTGAAATATGCTTGAAACGTAAAAATGTCCTCTAAATATAATATTTCACAGTAATAGTTCCGAAATGAAAATTAGAAACCTTTTAGACATATTAAATAGTAATATTTCAGAAATGTATTCTTTTTTCTAATATATTATTATTTAAAATACACAAAACTCAAACATTGATTCTTAAACACACAAATAAATAAATAAATAAATAAATATGTTTTAAAAAATATTTCATAAAATATAGAAGTGAATTGCTTTATTTCCACCAATTCCCTTAAATGGACTAATTTGATTTTTAATAAAGTATCTACATTTACGATTATTATAATCTAATCATTAAGATCAATTAGCAATTTTGTTTTTACCTAACTTATCTAGGGATGAAATACTTCATAAACTAAGATTCTACTCACTATATAGTGTACTTTGGAGTCTAATTATTTAGTTACACTACCGTTAACGAGCATACATTAAAATGCAAATGTGCCTAGCCAATGAGAACGCTCCGGCATCAGCGGGGGTGTGGCCTATGTGCCGCCAAATTCAAAATTCCAATTTATGTAGTTATGCGGAATTCTGTATCAAGGAAATATTTTTAAGTAGGTTCTGTGATGGATTCAAATATGCCGCCAAATTCAAAATTCCAATTTATGTAGTCATCGGAATTTTTGTATTAAGGACACATTTTTAGGTATGTATTGAAATATTTCAAATTTTTTATGAAAAAAAGCTGCGTTGCGTACATAAAGTAAATTATTAAAGTGTGGAAACGATCCATTATCTTACGAGTTAATTATTTGTCGAGATAAAACAGGATATTTTTAGTTCTACTTTTTTTTAAAATAAGTTTTACTTCCACTACCTTACAAAATATGACCTTCGAAAATAATGAACTCTTAAGATAATGGAGAGTTTCCACACTTTATGTATAATAGAATGTGATTATTAGAATAAATAATTAATATTTATTTTGATACCTCTACTGATGGTGAGTTATTTTTTTATATGTATATTTTTAAATAATAAATGAGAGGGAAAATAAAAACGAATAGGTACAATAGCATATGTTTACTAGGTTTATTTAAAACATTTAAATACAAATGTATTAAAATTACCAATTAAAAAAATATGTATTATTATGTATATTTTTTGAAAAGATGCATGGTTATATTATACATGATAACCTAACGGTTAAATAAAGTTCAATACATTTTTCTGGATGTCGAGAAGTAAACCTTTGGTCTAATATGCATTAGGCATTGAAACTTTTCTAGGTCTGGCATCTAATAGTCATCCTCATCTTCTCCAGTATTTAAGGAACCTAAAACATAACTCGCTTCTCTCCTCAAACAAAATACAGAATGTATATGTTTACACAGTACTGTTTTTACAGCATTCTCTGGACACTGACATTGATATCTATGTAAACATATTTTACATTTATTACAATTCCCAGTAAGACATTGTATATCACATACTTCATTACAAGACACTACATAATATTTATTACTCACTGAAGATTGTGCTTTGAATTTTCCAAATTAATTCATATTTTCTGCTTTTTTATGGGCTTCTACAACAATTTTGTGTTGATAATTGTTTGCATTTGGCCTTTCAGCATTAATTATCCTTTTCCACATCTTCTCATCTAACAAATCCTGTAAATTTTCAACTCTAAAAAAATTTGAATCATATTTTAATTTTATTATATCAACATTTTTCATTGCACGTTTTGTCTAATTGATAAAAGTATTTTTACGTAAGATTACGTCGTCCACTCATTTTATTATATTTTAATTTGTTGAATTGTTTGATCTAACCTGTTTGAAAGTAAAAATGCCTCTGGAAATCCCATATTCAGCCAGACATGAGTTTCAAGAAATTTTACTTGAACTGATCCCAATAAAAAATATTAATAAAATTAACAATATTAAATTAATACTACTAATTACCATATGTTAATTCTTTCACTAGAATTCTTAAGGGGCACGTTCCTCGGATGCGGATACTTCCCCCAGATTTTATATTTCGTACTTTACATGAGCCACTAAATCCTAAAAATAAATTTATGAAATACACATGTTTAACAAGTAAAAGTTGATATAACCTTTGAAATTACTTCTATTACAATTGTAAAATATGCGTTCTTCACCATTTTAAAATTTGTTTCTTGTCTGACAAGCATAATTAACTTCCTTATTTTCCTGTGCTCTCCAAGATGTAAATTCTTCAAATTTAAAACAGATTCTTTAATAGATATATGGTAAATATCAAGCAAATGTTTGTTTAAATAATTATAATAAGAAAAATTCTATTGGTACAAATTGGACACATAATGTTTATTTTGTTCCTGTCCAGTAGATTCTGGGTGAAATTTCCTTAAGTGCCTGTTTCTTGTAGATGTACTTGAAAATCCAATTTCACAAAATTCACAAATCACATTCTGTTGGCTGTAAAATAAACACAAGATTTATATTATAATCTTAATATTTTTATCTTGAAAATGTCACAATATAAAAAATAATTACCTCCCCTGTGATTCCATATTTTCCTGCTGTAAACCGCAGAATAAGTTTATGTTCAAAATTAAAAATGCTGAAAAGTTAGGTAGATAAATTCACTAACCAAACCAACGAAATCTGAAATCTAAGGTTAGGTTAATTACTGCCAAAGCGCCAAATGTCAAGTTCCTTAACAAAATTGACATAAATTGAAATTTTGAATTTGGCGGCACATAGGCCACACCCGGCTGGTGCCCGAGCGTTCTCATTGGCTGGGCACATTTGCATTTTAATGTATGCTCCGTTAACGTATAACACTTAACCACACTATACTCTGTTTTAATCTAACGTCACTGAACTAACTTAAAAGGCCTGGTTCACTGGAGTCTTCTTATTAGATTGGAATTGTTGAGGAGCTGAATAATCTCAAGGTTTCCATGTTGGAGCAGTCGTTGTTGGTGACTACTGGCAAATTTTTGTATTGTATTTTCAATAGTCTCCACTTTAAGGTCCCTATGAAGATCAGTATTACGCCAGTATCAGGATGCGTCGACGATGTTCCTTAATACTTTATTCTGGAAACGTTGAATAACTTGGATGTTATTTTTACTGACACAGCCTCAAAGCTGGCAAATTGCTTCATTTCCACCAATTTCTTTAAATGCACTAATCTGAAACAAAATATAGATAATTAAAAAGGATTTATTCAAATTATTTGATTAACAATAGTTTTAATTGTTTTAAATTAACTATAATAAAACAATACTCATGTCTAAACAAAACATGAAGATCCATCTAAGGAAGCATTATTTATGTAGTTCTCACCTTAATTTCTAAAGACATATTCTGCTTCACAACAAGTTCACAACGCATGAATATCAAAAACCAACAACTCAAATCTATAATTATTTAGAATATAGGCTTGTTTCTAGCCGGTGGCTGGACAGGGACATGATAAAATAAATTAACTACATATCCCGTCTTCTTCTTACAAATCGGAAATTCTTCATTAATTGTTGGCTTTTTACAACATAACCCGTTTAGTAACCTTTTATGTAACATGTATACCATGTTTCCGAAACATTTTCAGTGAAATATTTAATAAAAATATTTCTGAAACATTTCTGAAATAATGTGTGCTGTATGGTCATAACGACCGTATTCAATGTTTTCGTGACTGCATAATGTTGGAAAATGAAAACAGTTTTTATTTCCCATTTGTTTCCCACAAGCGAATTTTGTTTTGAAAAGCTATAAGATGATTGTACAGCTGATTTACCAATTGCCCCTTGTTTTTGAGGCTTCAAGTGCAGGTCGTTTAAGTGTCCTGTGATGTCTATCAGGAATGCCATGTGACAAAGCCAAGTTGGATCACAAATTTGCGGCAATATTTTCTCTTTCATTTGTATAAAATCAGCTATTCCTTATAAAATCTTTTTAGCATTTTACCTTTGTTTAGCCACATTACTTCGCAATAATAATATGTCACATCGTGTTCTGAAGAAAGATCATCCAAAAATGCTTTAAACTGCCAATGGTTAAGATGGCAGGATTTAATGAATTTAATGGTATTTACAACCACATCCATAACATTCTTCAATCGAATGGACTTAGAGCACAAATTTTGTTGGTGAATAATGCAATGCAGAATTATTAAATCATATTCTTGGACATTCATAGCGGTTGCTCTTTCCTTCCGAATTCCGATAAAACCTTTTCGAGAACCGACCATTGAAGGCGTACCATCCGTGCACACTCCAACTAATTTACATCAATGCAAACCATATTGCTCAAAAGTAGGTATCTACTTTGCACCTCGGCAAAAATATCTTTTCCAGTGGTGGTCCCTTGTAGCGGCCGTAAAGCCAGTAATTCCTTTTTTACTACAACTTCTTCAACACCTCGTATAAAAATAACTAATTAGGCTGTATCAGATAAATCTGTACTCTCATCCAAAGCATCAAAAATGCTTGAAAACTTGTGAATGCAACATTTATTGCTGTTTCCTTAAATCGGTAATGAGTTTTTAATTTTATCCTTTCTTAACTGGCCCATGAGTGAATTATATTGAGCAAAATGTTTGCTGGAGCTTCCATCCATACAATTTGTATAAATGGAACGATATTTTCATAAGTAGTGTAGCTCAGTGCTACACTTTCAATGCAAAGAAATAGATTCTATCACGAGAGCTTCTATCAATAGTGTCTTTTTAGCTCGCGGAGAATTAACCGAACTTGTCTGGACAAAGGCCATTTTAAAATTGACATTTTCGGTGAATATAAACAATTTATTTAATCGAAGCATTTTTGGATTCAAATACGGGACAATTTAATGAGAAATAAATTTAATTTAAACATAGATTTTAAAATAAAAATAATTCTGTGTAATTTATTTATAGTTTATTTATTTAAAACACTTTATTTACAATTTATTTATAACGTACTAATTATTTTTATAAAACTTAGACACTATTATGACTAACAATTCGAATTTATTTATTACAATTTGTTTTTACTGTCAAACACTTAATTTGAATCTTCCCTCCTATCGACAAAGTCGCGGCTATTTATATAAAGCCAGCTCTATACTAGAACACTCTAGGCGACCTAGAAGCTTTGGGAAGTCCCTTTCTATAACTCATACCCCCCACCGCAATCATTCCGGAAGTTTCGAGAAGTGGTGTGTTTGTCTCTGTATGGCCAGCGCTAGACTTCATAGCGCGGGCAAGGAGTAAACAAAGTACATAGACGGCTCCGCGTCACATTACCCCCTCCTTAAGAAATAGTTCATTCTGGAACTAAACCTAAATGATTGTATCTCCAACTGGATTCTCTTTTACAATTTCCAGTTGCATGGAAGTAACAAGAGACGGTCTTCGCTATAACTTGAACGCTGGAAGAATGGTTGCAGACCAGTATTTCAACCTGGGTATCTTGGAAGATTACTTCCAGCATTTTTCTGATGATCCTCCAATTTAGCTGGTTGCTCTCTATCTTGGGCATGGCTAGTTTATGTACATTGGACTTCAGTACGTGCTCCCTCAGACTAAGTAATGCTTCCCATACATCATGATAAGTGGATCGATCTCGGAAGGTGTTCTTTGTTACCAAATAGAAAAGATAACGCGATCCATCTTGAAGTTTCAATACTTTTCCAGGAGCTGGTAACTGATCTTGAAGTTCTTGCAGTTGATCAAACTTCTTCCGGAACACACATGCCAGACCTCGAGCGTCGTTGATGTTGGCGGAAGTGCTATGGACCAGCGAATAGTCTTTAGGAACCGTGAGCAGATCTTTCTTTTCTGGTACCTCCATATGCACCCATAAATTCTTCAAAGACAAGGTCAAGTGATTCTTGGAGCTGGTTTACTTCTTCTTTCTTGTTATGGGTACCCTCAAATGGCGCCAGGCGGTTTTGGTGAACTACCTTCGGTCTACCGTTCGGAATCTTACTTATACGGTAAATGACATAATTATTTTTTTCTTAATGAGGCACAGACCTTCCCAAGACCTTTGAAACTTCGGAGAATAACCCTTTTGTCTTTTTAGGTTATGGAGCCAGACTTTGGCGCCTTCCTTGAAACGTCCTTCTGTGGCTTGGGTATCGTCTCGCTTCTTCATTCTGTCGCTGGGGATTTGAAGATGCGAGCGAACTAATTCATGCTAGTCGTCTATTTTTGTTCATAGCTGGATCACATAATCTTCACCGGCTATGTCTTCTCCAGTTCGGCATCCAAACTCGAGGTCACACGGTAGTCTCATCTCACGCGCGACAGTATCTTTGCCGGTGTTTGGCTAGGAGAGTCATTGAGAGCGGATCTATATGCCGTTGCGAAGAGCGAAAGATACTCATCCCAATCTCGCTGATGGTTGGAAACTACTTTTGACAGGTATTTGCCAATGGTCTTATTCATTCGCTCTACCATTCCATCTGAGTGTGGGTGCAATGCTGTAGTTCTTTATACCTAGTCTGTCACAGATTCCTCGGAAAAGCTGGCTTTCAAAATTTCTGCCTTCGTCACTGTGGATCTACAAAGGCACTCCGAATCTACGGATGAATTCTTTTATTAACAGGTCTGCAACAGTTGCGACCTCTTGATTTGGAATGGCGTAGACTTCCACCCACTTCGTGAAATAATCCATAACCACCATCGTGTATTTATAACCATTCTCGGTCATGGGGACTGGTCCAGCAATATCTAAGGCAATCCTCTCAAGTGGGCTACCTACGTTTTACTGATTCATGGGGCCTACCTTTTTTGTTTGGTCCGTTACTTATAGTACAGGTGGTACATTTCTTACACCAGTCCTTTACTCATCAGAACTGTTTATCCAATAAAATCTTTCATTAACTCTCTAAAGGGGTTTCTTAACTCCTGATGTAAGTGACGACTAACTGCCTTCTGTTTTTGAAAGCATCATCATTCTCTAGTACTCGCTTTGATAAGCCTTCTTCTAGAATAAAAGAGTCCCACTAAGCCCAATATGATTTAACTACTGGAGAGAGTTTCGATACTTCTTGCCAATTAGGTCGACGATTTTCGTCTCTCCATTGTCTTATCTTCTTTAAAACGGGGTCGTTCTCTTGTTCTTCCCTAAGTTTGACAGGCGTCCACTTATCGCTGACAACCGACGTTCTTCATACTGTAACTTCTTTAGCAGATGTGGCCAACCCTTTTCCAATCAGGGTTCCTTGACCAACACCTTCATTGTGCTTCGAAGGTTCCGCCATGACAAGCGTTGCTTTCTCTACGGTTTCTTGCAAGCGCGTTTCTCTTATGGTTTCACTTCTTTCAGGCAACACCGTTCCTTCCTGTACAGCCACCGGCACGGTTTTTCGATTCGTAGTGTTCTTTGGGCGTTTGCACCAACTGCTTAGTCTTCGGTTGCTTCTCAATAAGGCTTTCCATCATGTGAAATAATTGATCCAATTTATTTTCTTGTTCTTCTTTTATAGTCCTTACTTCACTGTATCCACCAGAAGCCAGCCTATCCGCTTCGTATTCAAGAGTAGCGGACAAGACATCGACCAATGTTTTGGGGGCTAAATGGAGTGTTCTTTGTATTTTATGGTTACGAAGTCCATCTATAAATGCTAGGCAAATCGCACCATCTTCGCAATATCTAATTTGAATTCTTGAAGGCTCTCGTCACGTTTCTATTTGCGATTCTTCAACTGTAATCGGTACACCTGCTTCCTGGCCATATCGCTTGTTAAGTTTCTTTTTGAGTTTTTCAAAATCATTTGTCTCTTCCATACGTATTGTCTGAAGAACATCTAAAGCCTTGGTTTCTTTGAACACTTCGTCGCGGTGAGCGGACAGTCCGTCAACCGTCGCGTTTTGACGATTTTATCCAACCAGATTATTTAAATGGGAATGGTTTTCTTAAATCCGCTTAGTTGAACAGGACGGCGTCATGCCGCTGATTTGTCGCGAAGAGTCGGTTGATATCTGTTGAGTTTGATATCAGCGGAATCGTCGGCGTGTGCGGAGACTATATTGTTATTAATTTTAAAACAATGAGTGACAAATTCACACATACAGATGACATCATGACTTTATTTTTAGGTTTCTTGGAAATTATGTCCTTTATAAAACTCAACACGAATTCAAAAAGATCTGTAGAAAGTCTAAAATACTCCCTAAATTTGGTTTCATTTCCAAAAAGCCTCCGCCGCACAGTGATATTAAAGGCACCTTCTGTATCGCGACAGAAAAACAACTCAATCACTGGAAACTTTGACGGTTGCAATTGCCAGTTCCTCTTGTTCTTCCTCTTCCAACAATAATAACAACGCAAACAATTTATTTGCAACCATTTTAGTACCTTTCGTTTACATTCATAATACATAAACAGCACGTACAGACATAGAGAAAGTATCATTTTCTATATTTTTTAACAAACCACCTCGGGCGAAAATTGCTGTCCTCAGCGGTCGACGGACTGTCCGTTCATCGCGACGGAGTGTTCAAAGAAACCAAGGCTTAAAGCGTCTCCTCGAAGGGCGATTGTCAAATTTACTGCCTTTTCTCGTTCAGACCATTCGTTTGCTCTGGCAGCTATTTAGAACTGTTTAAGGTAGTTGGTCCATGACTTCTTCTCGTCGAAAGTTGGGGCTTTAACAAGAGCAGAGTTTACAGCTCCTTTCAATTTCAACTTCGACCCCATTTCATGGCACTTTATTATACAGGTCATTGAAATTATTACGATTTTCATATGAAACTGGTTAGTATAGCGTGCGAAATACCCTGTAAAATCTCATAGTATTTCATAGTCTTTGGTATTGTTATAATTGGAAAAGCGAGGGCACTTCAAATATAAACTACCTAACTTTGATATATATCACTTTCTTGGAGAACCCTGTATAATTGAAATTATTTTTAACTTGTTGTTTTTTTCTGAACTCGCTGTGAAAACATATTTAAAAATATTAAATATATTTGGCTCTACGGAACGAGACGTTAATACCGGTGGCCCTGTATAATTAATTGTATTAAGTACTACTTTTTTATTTACAGTCGAATATAAATTTCCTTTAAATGTTGCCGACAACTAAAAAGATCCTGTATGTTGTTCTGTTTTCTGAAAAGCTGATAAAAATTATTTAACCGATTTAATAGGTCGAAACTACATTACGTGACATAGGAATTATATTCTGAATAAAATCAATTCATTCTTGAATGGGGAAGAAGGTAAAAAAAAATCGTGTTTTTGTAATCAAATATTGGCTTTCGATTAATTTTAGTAGAATTTAAAAACAAAAATGCAAGTTGGGCGCGCATTGAATGGACCTGGTGAGCGAACAAGCGAAGCGCATGTGGATTAAAGCGTAACTCGGTGGCACAAGAGTCTCACAGCAAAAGCAAAAGCTAGCGACTGAGCCAACCAGCCCGCCAAGCGCCGAGCGATACATCGATAAATCGACTCAACTCGACCATCGCGAGTTCGCCGTGTGCCGTGTGTCGACTCCGCTAGTCGCTTCAGTTTGCTGCCGGCGTGCAACGGGTGTAGAGAGTGTCGATCCGTCTTCAATCCGAGCGAGTTGCGGCTTTCTCCTAGTAAATTTTAAATAAATTCGCTCGTAATATGAACTCCATTGAAACCCTTTTAGAAGCCGCTGAGTACATTGCTAGAAGAGAGAGAGGTGAGTACTGGCTAAATTAACCGAATGCGGAATATCTATTTTCGTGCTATCGAATCAGCTGTTTTTGATTGGTATTTGTTTTTGTTGTTGCAGAAGCTGAACACGGGTATGCTTCGACGTTGCGTTTTCCAGATGAACTCAGAAGTGTGTCGAAAAGGCCAAAAACGAAAAAGTCTCAGGGAAACAGGTGAGTTTTACTACAGCCCAACGCAATGTGTACCGTTTTTCTTTGTTCTCATGATGGGCAAGGCTAGTTGTATGTAGTTATCTGGATGAAATGCATGCATGCCGTGTCTCACGTCGCAAGTTACACAACCTTTGCATATACGCTATGATTGTATTTAAAAAAATGCACCTCTCACCTTCCCTTAAAATATATTTTCGAATTTTAAAAGTTACTAACAAGTTAGTTAGGTACCTACCAAATTTTTATTTGATTTACTTAAACGTCAATTTCACTTGCCAGTTGTTAATATCTCAAAATTATTACATTTAGAAATTCAATTAAATAAATTAAGATTATCATACAAGTCAGTTGGATTAATGCAACATTTTTTACAATAGGATTAACAGATAATCTATCATTTGTTGGAATAGGTCAAGATAATTTATAATATCGACGTTGCCGGGACATTGTGATGCAATTTTTATAGTCAATCCATAAAAATTAATTATTTCTAAGCGATATAAAAACTATGAGTCATACCTACTTATATTTTTTACATACTTAAATGGTTTTATTTACTATTGATTTTCTCTAAAACTTATTAAAATATTTTTTCGTTTATCATTAATGTGATATTTTTATCGTTTTGTAGGTATATATATCTGGAACAATGTAACATTAAAAGTTCGTTAGTTCACATAGAGACCGGCCCATATTTTTCTTGGTTGTTATTAATAATAAATAATGAAAAACAAAATTGTTAGTTAAAATTTGCTCTGAGAGGGAGATAATTTTTCTAAGCAGATACATGTAGTTTAGGCAAATAAAAATTAATTGGGCTGACCGTTCACACATTTACACTATTCTTATACCGACCCTGGTATAATTTTCTATTTGATAGCAACATTGGCGAACCACGGTAACAAAAGTCAATAAAAAAAATGTTATGCCTATACCTATAACAAGTATCTAGGTACTTTTGATAATACGTTTGTTTTAATTGTATTTTTTTTTCTGTTTTAGGACATCTCATAACGAACTGGAAAAGAATAGGTGAGTTTGCTGTCCTTAAATCTGTTTTTGGATTATCAGTGTGTAGTGCAGTGACAGTTTCAGTGATATTGTGCAAATAAAAAAAGTTCGCAATAAGGTGATTTGGTGTAACAAATAGTGCCCAGAAAATTTTAGTTATACCTATTTAAATACCTAGTTAAAATTGTGGTCTATAAATTTATAACAAAATTCAGACCAGACATTTTTCAGTAGGTCAGAATGGATTTTCCTTGTAGTGATTTTTATATTTAGGTACCTACTTAGATACATCATCGTTTTTGCGAGATATTTTAAAAACTAAGACCTCTCGACTTGTTTTTTTTTAATGAAGTAGGTAGAAACATGTTAAATATATAATAAATAATTATGTCATGACAAATATTTAGAATTTCATTAAGTAAACGACAAACATTATTTTGTTGGTGAACATTCTTATATACCTAGGTACGTACCTACATTCTGGAAAATGAAAATAATATTAATATAACATGAAGAATAAAATATAATAGAAAAGTTTTGTAAATAAAAATTTTGAGCTAATAGTATTAGGGATGTCTAGTAATACATTTTTTGTGCGCCGATTTTATTATTCTGGCCACCTAAATTAGATGAGCAAATTAGTTCTTGTTAACACGTTAAAGACCGCATGCCCACCGGTGGGCCACTCCGCAACAACATTACCGGCCTTTGTTGGGACCAGGTGATCACCCGTGGGCACTTTAATTGAAATAAATCTAGGGGTTAAATAATGTCTACCTTATATTATTGTACACTAAAAACATATTTAAAAAATAATATACGTAATTAACAATAAAAAAAATGTCGGTCCCTATGCGAAAAATAAGATTTTTCAATGCGGTCTTCAATGTGTTTTAAATAGCAATAATAGCACCATTTAGTATATAATTTACATAATAACTAATGCAAGATTTCGTAAATTTTAATAATTCATAGATGAAGAGTAGGTATAGGGTTCGTTTTTGCTAATCTCTAGGCAGTAGACAGGACAATATACGAAAACTCATTTTACTTCAAATAAAATCAAACACATGACTTTCCTGTCAAGTTATTACAGGATTTTTCCGGTTATTTTGTACAACCTATTGTATCACCCCTGTAAATGTATAGAGGAGGAACTAAATAGATACATTTTCCACACACATCTTACTCGAAATAATATTTTATATAGGTAGGTAGGTATATCCATTGCCAAAGAAAATACTGATAAATTAAAATTTTAAGCTTTTCTTCAAATTTTTACATTACGGCCCATTTTAGAGAAATGATGTATGAAACAAAAACTATAGAGAATGATATCGCATACAACTTATATTTGAACAATTTTCTTAAAAATTTGAATTTTTCAGTTTTTGTCAAATTTTTAGGAAATTTTGTGTAAGACAAAAATTGTATTGAATAACATTACAAGCAATTTTTATTTGAAGAATTTTCTTCTTACAGCTTAAATAACATTTATATTTCATAAAGTAGCCTCTATACAGTACCCCCTTTCCCCAGATTTTCCGACTGCCCAAAATTTAATTAGTTCACCGCAGGATGGATTAAAGCTTAAATTTAAAATTTGGTGTTTTTGTCTTTATCCGTTTTTGAGTGATCTTCAAAATTCGAATTTTTCACTTTTTATCAAATTTCTCGAATAAGGCCCATTTTAGGAAAATTATGCATAGAACAAAAATTATAGAAACTTATATTGCAAGCAACTTTTATTTGAAGATTTTCTTCTCCAAGCGCCAATAACAGATACCTATATTCCATAAAGTAGAAAAACGGCCCCTAATAAAATACCTCCCAGATGTTCCGACTATACAAAAAATCTAATCAGATCACCGCAGGATGAATTAAATACTGACAGACATCATCGCGAAAATAGTGAAAACGGATTCAGGAGACCCCAAAACGTTAAAATCCGTCGAAAACTCTAGGTCGAAAAAAATAATTATTCCTATACTTACTCTCCTTATCTGTATACACACAGGAAAGTAAAAAGATTAATTGGTAAACTCGGTGGTAAAGCTATAGTGAAATAACATACCTATAGAATGCAACAAAAATTATACCTGTCATTTCAAAGTCTTAGGTCAAATAACTAGTTCACAAGGGATTAAAAAGCGTAACTTCTAGTCCCTGCGATGACTTATTAAATGCAATTTATTTTCTTTCAAAAAGTTTGATTTTTCGTTAAATTTCTGCCGATATTATCTCTGAAAGTACTCAATTTAAGTCCGGATAAGCAGCTTGATAAATTCGTTATTTATTTCTTTAGAATTTAATAAAGATTTGTTTACTGTTTTTTTTTTCTTTTTGTAACTAAGTAGTCGACAGAACTTTTCACCACACACAAAAAAGACATCTTGCAGAAGTCAATATTAAGCAATATCAATATTTAGGTACTCGCAAAAGATCTATTACCTATTTTCTATTTAGGTATGTGAATATTGGAAAGGAGTATAAAATGTCAATTAATTATACAGTGCGAGACTAAAGTCCTCCCATTTATTTTTGATCCGTAAAAGTTAGAGATTTGATAAAAAAGTTTTATTTTAAACGAGAATAGTACAGTGTCGAAGGTTAAAAATTTGTAGTACGCCAGTTGATAGCATTGAAAATTTAAAGCAAAGAATTTTATTTTTATTGATATCATTGGAAAGGGTTTGGATCAAGCTATCAAATGATGTATCACTAGCCATATGATCCCATTTAAAATTATCTTCCAAAACAGCTCCCGTCCATCATTTTTAATGATTACATTACCTAATATCATTAAAAAGGTAGCATACATTCCACCGGTGTGAAGATAGCAGCCAATTTTAGCAGCCAATATTTCCGGAAACGCACGATTGGGCATTTCAGTGGCGTACAAGCTAAATATGACAAAAATTGAGTTCATTTTTAGCAATTAAATAGCAAATGATAAGTAATACAGTTAAAAGAAAAATTGCTCCCAAACAGTGAAAGGGGTTGATTTCTCAACCCTAATATTTAAAAAACTCAATTCCTAAAATAAATGAAAAGCCAAATTCATATTTAGCACATAAAAAGTAAATAGCTAGTTATCTATACAGTTAAAAGGAAAATTGCTTCCGAACGGTCAAAGGGGTTGATTTCTCCACCCTAATATTTAAAAAACTCATAATTCCTAAAATAAATGAAAAGCCAAATTTATATTTAGCAGTTAAAAAGTTAATTGCTAGTACTATATACAGTTAAAAGGAAAATTGCTTCCAAACGATCAAAGGGGTTGATTTCTACCCCCAAATATTTAAAAAAATTATAATTCCCAAAATAAATGAAAAGCCAAATTCATATTTAGCTATTAAAAAGTAAATGACTAGTTCTATATACAGTTAAAAGGAAAATTGCCTCCGAACGGTCAAAGGGGTTGATTTCTCAACCCTAATATTTAAAAAATTCATAATTTCTAAAATAAATGAAAAGCCAAATTTATATTTAGCATATAAAAAGATAATTGCTAGTACCATATACAGTTAAAAGGAAAATTGCTTCCAAACGGTCAAACGGGTTGATTTCTACCCCCAATTATTTACAAAAATCATAATTCCTAAAATAAATGAAAAGCCAAATTTATATTTAGCACTTAAAAAGATAATTGCTTGTACCACATACAGTTAAAAGGAAAATTGCTTCCGAACGGTCAAAGGGGTTGATTTCTCAACCCTAATATTTAAAAAACTCATAATTCCTAAAATAAATGAAAAGCCAAATTTATATTTAGCACTTAAAAAGCCAATTGCTAGTACTATATACAGTTAAAAGGAAAATTGCTTCCAAACGATCAAAGAAGTTGATTTCTACCCCCAAATATTTAAAAAAAATTATAATTCCCAAAATAAATGAAAGGCCAAATTCATATTTAGCTATTAAAAAGTAAATGGCTAGTTCTATATGCAGTTATGTTCATTAGATATTAAGGTTTGTTTTTGTTTTTTTGTTTTTAAATTTCTTGTTACTTAAGTCTACATTACTATTAATTCTTCAAATAAAAGTTGACATCACAAATGTCATTCTCTATAATTTTTGTTCTATACATGATTTTCCTATTCGTATTTTCGTATTCGAGATATTTGAAGAAAAGTGCAAATTTTGAATTTTTAAATTACTCAAAAATAGATGAAGAGAAGAATACAAAATTTTAAACTTAATCTTGAATAAATCCTGATTAAATTTTTGGCATTTTCGAATCTCTGGGGGACGCAGAAGAGGGGATACTTTATAAGGTGTCGTTGTTTTTTTACTTTAAGGAATATTGGCGAAAACAATTCTTCAAATAAATTTTCTATACATGGCAAACATTTACAGGGGGTGATACAGTAGGTTATACAAAATAACCGGTAGAAAGCTTGTAACTAAACCAGACAGAAAAGTCATTTGTTAGAAATATCAGATTTTCTTGTAAAAAAGTGGAAAGAATAATTTTTTGCAAAAACTGTAGGGATAAAAAACACACCCTAATTCACCCATTTAGCTTTAGAATAATAGTTGGCAGGTGCAGTGTTAGTATGATTTTTAATTTAATATATTTAAATAAAGAGTGATCCACAATAGTAGTTTGTGCAACAAGAGTGGATATGATAGCCATAAATATGTAAAACGGACAATCTACTCAAGTTGTACAGTATATTTTTTTACTACCCACTAACGAAAATTTACAAAATTTTAAAAATTTATTTAGAGATAATTAAGATAAAAATAGATGGTAACTTTTATTAATTTATTAAATTAAATACACTTTAAAAAACAAAACAAAAAAATATTTTTTAAATTTACGATATATTTGTAAATATACTCGAATAGTTTGTTGAATGCCGATTATTTACAAGAATCATAAAACAATTTTTACGTTTTTTTCTTCACGTCTTATACAAACTTTAGTTTTTCTTTTTCTTGTATAACCCATACATGTTCTATACAAAATTTAATTCTCCTGATATAACACCCAGCTAATGTTTTTTACTGGAAACCAACTGGAAATCCATACATTGTTGTAGAAATCCTTCGAAAATACCTGCAATTTCGCAAAACACTGGCAATCCATACGGAAATCGCCGCAATCAGGACGGAAATCGCCGCAGTCAATACATAAATCAGCGCAGTCACGAGAAAGTCATGTGGAAGTCACCGCAGTACCTAGAACTCTGTAGGAAGTCACATGGAAATATGATTGCGGAAATCATGTGAATTCGGCAATACATGTACATTTTTACAAAGAGTGATTCATCTCTCGCTTATACCTAACCAATAAAGAACCGAGTAAAACTTAACGAAATTATCGACAAAATAATAAAATTCTGAGTACTTGATGAAAAAAGCTTAATTTTTAATTTGTGCAAAATTACATTTTTACATTTTTAATACAATAATTGTATGCTTATTTTAAATATGTAGATAGATGTAGATAGATAAATGAAATTAAGATTTAACGCATCTATTGTACTCGCTTAGAGCAACTCTGACCAATATTTAAAAACGCAAAATCGATTTCGTATAACCCAGTAACAACGAGCGGCCTTGTTAAAGGCGATAATCCTTGGTAAAAGGCGATAAACCTTGGTTAAAGGCGACAAACCTCGGTTAAAGGCGCTATCGTTTTCAGATGACCACAAAATGTCCACCATATTTTTACTTTATTTTACTAGTGCCTTTATTTGTAATGTATTTGGAGATGCGAAATTTAGCTTTAGCTACTCTACTTAACCTCTCCTCATAAAAAATTACTATTTAACAAAATATTAGGTAAAATCGAGGGTAAAATATGATAAGTTTAAAAAGTAGAATTATTGACAATTACAAAAGTATAAAAATAAAATTATTAATATTACTCGTATGTATAATTTTGAAAAGATGAAAGGTACAAAAAAGAACTTTGCAAAATACCTTACTGCAATTTTTTTTTTCGTTTTTCTTTCGAATTTTTTCGTTTTTTGTCTTCTTTTCCCTTTTTTTTTTGTTTCTTTTTTCGTTTTTTTTTTTCGTTTATTTCCATTTTTTCCCATTTTTTCCGTTTTTTTTTTTTAAATAACTTTTAGTACGAGACTTTAGATCGACTGGTATGTTATTGAAAATAGAGATCGCATTGTATATATGTGAGTAGATGCCGAAACACGGTTACATTGTATTTTTACATTACCTCGATATTGTAATTTGACATTAAAGTAAGAAGGTTTAAAAGTTACTAAAATTTAAAAAACTAAAAATGACATGTGAAGGATACACAGTAAAAACGGGCCAAGTCACTTTTTTGACTTTTTGGGCGGGTTGTACAATAGACAGTTAAAATGTAATCTAAGTTTAAACTGTGAACCTCGTTGTATAATCATCTGTCATTATTTAACTTAGTTTTAAAAATGACATTTGTTCGTTGAATATAACCAGTTAAAAACTCCTATTATTTAAACCGAGTTTATTGCATTCTTTGCAATAACTCTGAGGTCGAGTTGTCCTCAGAGTTATTGCTTTTTTTAAGTTTCAACCAGTTGTTTTTTAGATTTTTGTTTTTTTTTGTAAAATATTTCTATAATTATTTGCAAGTATGTCATGGAGAAACTTTTATCTAAAACAAATTTTTGGTAACCTTTACTAGGTAGATAATATTTTTTAAAAAATCTCAAGGATAAGTTATTTAAGTTTCGCACACAACACTTGATGGTCAATGGTGTCAAATGCGTTAGAAAAATCTAATTGTACAACAGATGTTGCAAGTTCCATATCTAGTGTGGTGTAGTAGCAGTGTGGTGGTGCTAAAATTTTTACGAAACTCAGTTTGGGAATTATCAACAATTTTATTTGTAAAAACATAACTAATCATAATGAATAGGAACCTTTTCGCGTTTTAATGATTATAGATATAATTTCAAGTACAATTTTTACATATATTTTTTTATTCCCCTGAGAAAAGATAATGGCT